AACAGGGAGTCGAATTGTCCGAATCGCGAACTATAAGCGCCATAGGATAATTTTACTGATTGTTAAATAAGCTAATCCCGATTGTGTTTGATGCTTAAAATTAAACTGTACTGTTATATGGTGACCCGGTTTAGCCACTTTTATGTATCTAACATCCTTAAGGTAATCTTAATTCCTTTTACAATTCAGCATTTGAGCCCTGCCAACACTATTTTCCCAGAAAATGTGAAAGTCTTGAATTCAGGTTTCTAAGTCAAATCTGTCTTAAAAACGTGAAAAAAAGCCCCAAAAATATTACTGGGATGTTTAGCTAAGCGGATTTTTGTTATTCTTTTCGCCAGAGAAATTCACACGATTTGGTAAAAAAATAGACTCTTAATTATTTTAAATATCAAAATAAGCAGCATTTCAGATATGTAGAAATGCTGGTATATAACCTTGAAAAGAATTTGTTTATTCAGGACGAAGTCTGCAGACATTTTCTAAGACATTTAAAAAAAAAATAATAAACAAGTAAAGAAGCAGCTACGTTCCGCCGGGCCTAACTATTTATACCCTCCACCATTTGGAAGGAATTTGAAAAAAATATAAAAAAAAACGTCGAAAAATATCGCTCAAATGAAAACCTTTATATGGGGGCTATACGAAGACATGGTGCGGGATAAGTATTTTTTGTGATAGGCTGTAGTAACGATTACGAAACTTCAAATACGAAATTTGACGCAATTCCGGTGAATAATATCGCTAATATCATCAAAATACGGATTAAAGGGAGGTACCGTTGTATGGGGGATATTTTAAGACGTAGACCTGCATAGACAATTTTCCGTCATAGGTTGTAGTACCCATTACGAACGAAATTTGAAGCAATTGCGGTGAATAATGTCGCGAAAATCCTGGAAATCCCCGAATATCTCGGGTTAGCGTTGTATGGGTGCTATAGTAAAACGTAGACCTATATAGACATTTCTCTTTCAGGGTGTAAAGTACTCAGAGGGAACTCCTTGCGCTGATTTTCAGACTATTCAATTGAAAAATGTGGCCAAAATTATGAAAATACCGAATATCGGGGAGCGGGGCCATTGTATGTGGGCTATACGATATCGTGGGTTTTTATAGACAACACTCTTTCAGGGGGTAAATTACTCACAGAGAACTCCTTGTGTACAATTTCAGACAATTCCATTAAAAAAGGTGGCTAAATTATCAAAATACCAAATATCGAAAGGTACAGTTATATGGGGGCTATACGATATCGTGGACCGATATAGCTTATCTTCGGACTTGAACTGCCTGCAGACAATATACATATCGGTGCAAAATTTCAGCTTCCTATGTTTATTCGTTTTGACTCTAGCGTAATTACAACAGAGGCACAGACAAACAAGGCTAAATCGTCTTAGTATTTTACGCTGATCATATCATCGCTTTGTTGGGTCCAAAATTATTATTTCAATGAGTTACAAACGGAATGATAAACTTAATATACCCTCCATACTATGTATGGCGGAGGATATACCAAAACTACCTTTAAGAAGATATTATTTGGCATTGGTGTGGTGGTTATCTTAAAAATATAAACTTATGAACTCTAAAAACACCTCTTATCTTTAATGATAAGTTCATGTCGAAAGATATCTTTTACATAAAGAGGATTTAGATAATGGATAAAGATTCCAAAAACTCTTGATTAACACTCTTTCCCTTCCCTTAAAACCCTTCTAACATTTTATAAGTAAATATGCATGCATATACATTCATGGAGAATATGTCTATTCGGGGTCTTGATCAACAACATTGAGTTCAAAGTCAATTTTTAAAAATTGACTGCCAAGTTATTGACCAAACAATTTTAAATTTATGATTAAAACGGCAAAAAAGTTTTTGTTATCTCTGCAGAAAATAGGGTACAGAACGGAACATTCACCCGATTTTTTCTTTTTTTAATCAAATGTTTAACCTTTGGATTTTTTGGCTTATGAAAAAAGTAGGAGAATTCCCTCACACATTTTTTTCAACATTTTTTGGTTAAATAAAATATTTTATCTATTTCTGATTTTTTCAACCCATTTGATAGGGTATAGATTTTGATATGGCCATCCCCCTACCCTATGGAGGGTTTTCGATATGTACCCAACAACAAAGCATACCGTTAGATTTTGATAAATTTGAATATTTTATCTTTGTATAGAAAATTATTGCATATCTATTATTTTCAAATCAAGCCGTTCTACTGACATATATTTATATTCAGTATCTACACCTGCTGGGTATGAGAATAGTATCGCCTGACGACATTAATTATTGATGGGGCGGTGGAGCGGGAGCAGTAACAACAACAAGGTTCTAACTTTGCTATTCTCTTCCAGTTAGAATAGCAATGCCAGCAGCGTCGCAATTGCCATTATGACATTCATTTACTTGTCGACAACGCTCAACTCATTTAGGGTGACAATGACAGGTTTTTTATTTTTTTTTGTCTATACTTCATGCATAGGAATTGTACTGCTGGTCTGGTGTTAGCTCCTTTCTATGGTAAAAAGCGAAAAAAAAAAACAAAACGTTTTGCCTAAATTATTCCAGACGTTAAAGCGATTGATAAGAATGGAACGTGTGGTTTAATTTTGATAAGGATTTCTAAATTTTCTCCCTAGACCCCTAGAAACCATAAAAACCGCTGTAATCGGAGAGCAATGGTTAAACATAAACTGTATTTGTTCATAGCAGTTTTATTATTATTTTTTTTTAATTTATGTCTCTTTATAGCCACTTCAATTTTTATCTCATTCCAATGCTTTTTTTATAAGGGTGTAATAGAAATATACAGGGTGAGATAAAAAAAACTGCAACAAAGTAAAACACCACAATTTTTCCCATTTTTTTTTCTAAATTTTATTGAATAAAAGCAAAAAATATCGGAAATAGCATCAAATTTTAGAATAAGTTTGGATTTGTTCGAATTGATCACCTTGGGAACAAATTATGGCCTTTAAACGGCCAATGAAATATTAGTAACTCTTTAGTAAATGTAAGGTGTTGAGCTATAGCATTTTACCCACAGAAACCGCAAAAACTAAAGTTCAGAACACTACATCAAAACAAGTTGAGTACAAGACAAGAGACAAGCAAGCCACTACACTACATGCACGGAGATTTACATATATTTGACTCTTGACGCCCATTTTCATTTTCGTTACACCCCAGTTCTCCAAACGCACAACTGTGTGTTGTTTCTTATCACTAAAACCTGTTGGCATTATTGACTAGGTTGAAGATACCGCCAACGCCACCACCTCTGTGGCTCCCCCCATAATGTGGTCGTAATTTCATTAGTTATTGGGTAAATAACACTCACCAACCCTTAATAAACATTGCAAATTATATAATTATAATAAAAAAAATTTACACCCATTTACATTGACGGCTATCAAATGTCTTCCTCAAAGTAATAAGCAAAACGAGGTTAATACGAATAATTTGGGAAAAGAGTAAAAAGGGTTATAGGATTGGCATCAATGTTTGAGCTTTAGATACCTTACTATTGATTATGAAATCGATTCAAATAGAACAAATTGACGGAAAAGGGTGACACGATTTAGATGCAGAAAGATCCCGAACAGAAAAAAGTAAAAAAAATATTAAGTTCAGCCGGGCCGAACTTTTAATACCCTCCACAATTGGGTAAAAAAAAAAAACATTTTTATTAGAAAGTATCTGAATTCAAACGTGTTCCACTTCAAACTACAAATACCACTAAGACCGGTTGGATAATGCTGTTAAACTTAAAAAAAAAAAACTGTGGGCGAGCCCGTTATATGGGGGCCATACCAAAACGGGAACCTCTGTAGGCAATTTTATCTCATCTGCCAAATCTTCCTAAATACCAAATTTGATGCAATTTCGTGAGTAAATATGACTAGTAGTACGTTTATATATATGAGGGTTAACCCACTGGATTTGGATTTAAATTGTCATATCCATTACTTTTACTCCAAATAAATCCTCTAAAAGTAGGTTAACCCTACAAAAAGTTCTAACGTAAACATGGCATAGGATTATCAAAATAAGGAATATCGGTTGGTATCGTTATACGTGAACTATAGGACCTAAATATACAATGTTCTGCCACCGGAGCTAGAACCCATTATGAATCAATTTTTAGACAAAGCCATGGAAAAATGTGGTAAAAATCGTTAAAATACCGAATATCGGCAGATACCGTTATATGGGGGCTATACCATAAAAACTTAGTTCCGCCACCGGAGCTAGAACCCATTGTTACTTACAAATACCAAATTTTAAACAAATCCGTGGGAAAATGTGGCAAATATTATCAAAACACCGAATATTGGGAGGCACCGTTATATAGGGCTATAAAAAAAGTGGACCTATACGTACAATGTTTCGCCACCGAAGCCAGAACCCATTATGACCGACAAATACCAAATTTTAAACAAATCCATGAAAAAATGTGGCGAAAGTCTTCAGAAAATCGAATATCGGGAGGTACCGTTATATGGGGGCTATACAAAAACGTGGACCTATACATAAAATTGTGCTGCCAAATTTTCAAGCTCTACGTTAAATAATGTAGGCTTAGGCCAAGGCCAGTTTCAGGACTTGATTGCTTTAAAGACATTATCCTTTAAATAGCGAGGTAATAACTTCTCCTATAAACTCAGAAGAAGTAGCTACTAATCAAATCCATATTTGTTACTTTGAAATTTCTTAACTCTGCAATTCAATAAATTAGTTTATGGGGGAGGAAAATCTATGGCTTTGATCCCTGCTATCTAAATTAATATCTAATTTCCTTTCCTTGTCAATATACATATGTGATTTTTTCAATTAAGTGTTAGGTTAATTAGCAGACGTATTTACCCATCGCCGAAATATAATATGACCTCATAAAAAGGCTAATCATGTTGTCACGACACGCTAACTTTAATTACACATGTTAGCCATTCGCTCACTAATGTATTTTTTTCTTCTATTTACAGTCTGATTTCGATCAACAATTGGAAAATGCCGGCGACAAGTTGGTGGTTGTGGATTTCTTTGCCACCTGGTGTGGTCCCTGCAAAATGATTGCTCCCCGCTTGCAGGAATTGTCCAATGAATATGCTGATAAAATTGTTGTCATCAAGGTAACTATCGAACTAAAGTCAAAGTAGAGAAAAAACTTACGAGGATGATTATTTACAATTCTGACAAAACTAAAAACTCACATGGTCTAGCCCAATGTGTATTTAATAAGGTCACATAGGAACCAAATTCAGGTCTTAGTCTTCTTTTTCTGTCAAAAGTTTTTCTGTGTGGAAGCCATTATTAAAAAGAAGTCTGTTTGACCTCGCTGTGTCTCCTTGCAAATACACCTTGGAACTAGCCCCAACGTAGTATTCCTTTTTGTATTTCATAACTAATAATTTTTTTGTATTCCCCAATTTCAGGTCGATGTCGATGAATGCGAAGATGTCGCCATGGAATACAACATTTCCAGCATGCCCACTTTCTTGTTCATCAAAAAGAAGCAAGAATTGGAGAAATTCGCCGGTGCCAATGCCGAAAAATTATTGGCCACCATTCAAAAACACGCCTAAATCAAATACAAATTAAATAGCCTTAAATTTACTTTGCTTTATATATAATGATGATATGTAAACAAAATCAAGAAAAAATACATTTATATACATAAATAATTGTCATATAATAATAACTTTAATAGACCACACAATTCTTCTTTGCTTATGCCTTAAGAGAAAACACACATTCTTTTTTTTGGCTAATATTGTTATTTTGTAAACCTTTTTTAATTTAAATTTTATAAATTTGGAGACATTATTGAAATATTGTTGTTTTTTTAATCGATTTTTTTGGCTCTTTGGAGTGGAAGGCTACTAGAGGAGATGTTGTATTACGTCACCATTAAAAAATTCTTAAATGGCTTAGGCAATGCCTATTCTAGTGACCTTCCTAACACCTTTATTATCCTTCCACTTTTGTTTTTTTTTTTTTTTTTTTTTTTTCAATCCATTCCCTTTGTTATATAAATTGTTTTCTCCTTTCATCAATAGAGGAGCATTTTTTAAAGTAGATTTGCCGTTAAATGAGTTTATATTTTTTAATAAATCTTTGAAGAAACAATAAATGTCAACAACTTGTTTAAATTTAATTGGTTTTACTGTGTTAGAAGAAAAATTAACGAGATTTAATTAGGACCAAGTAAATCGTTAAAAATATGTTTTATTTTTACAGTACCATGAGTTTCAACTAACAATTCTATCCTTTAAGGACACAATGGGTTAGAGAGAATATTGTACTTTAAAATGGACAGATTTTCTATGTTGAGAACCTACCTATACGGCATGGACTAATAACATTAATGTCGGACCCAACAAATAGTATCCCATCTTTTGAAATAAAACCTGAGATAGTATCAATTTAGAAATGCATTCAAAACCTCGGTGAAAAATAACGGAAATTGAAAAAATCTCGAAACGGTAATTGGCAATTTATTTTGTATTTTGATTTTTATATAGAAAAATATAAATAAAAACAAGTTAAATAGTGTCAGTCGGTTGTACTCCTTCAGCTAATTTTATTATTCTTCAATATATTGTTTTTGCAAAATGGTCAGGTTTAATGCCTTTATTGTTGTTTTTATAAAAACAACATTTGTGTATTAGTGGAGAACGATGGTAATGTTTACCAGGGGATAAGGCAGGGAATATCTAGTTTTCGGAAAGAGACACCAATTCTTATCATGTTCCCTTGTTTTTAGTCTGGGATATTGTCCCCAAAAGTTATTTTAAAAATTACTTCTATGACAAAAAAACATTTTTTACCCAAGTGACGAAATCGTAAGCTCAATAGAAGAGGAACCAAAGAATTAAAGTTAATTAAATAATCGTAAGCCCCATAAAGCATATATACTCATGATCAGCATAAAATTCTAAGTCGATTTAACTATGTTCGACTGTCTGTCTGTTGAAGTCACGATACACCCCACATTATTTGACGTAGAGCTTCAAAATTTGGCAGAACAATTTGTATTGTGTCTAGGATGGTTGGTATTGATATATCGGTCCACGTTTTGGTATATTCCCCATATAACGGCACCTACCGATATTCCGTATTTCGATGATATTTGCCATATCTTTTTTACGGATTTGTCTAAAAATTGGTATTTGCAGGTCATAATGGGTTCTAGCTCCAGTGGCAAAACATTTTATGTATTTTATATAGCCCCCATATTACGGTACCTCTCGATATTCGGTGTTTTGTCATTGTAGGTCATAATAAGATCGTGTGGCGAAACATTGTATGTATATGTCCATGTTTTGGTATATATCGGAATTTCCTGATATTCGGTATTTTTGCCTCATTTTTTCACGGATTTGTATAAAAATTGGTATTTATAGTTTATAATGGGTTCTAGCTCGGATGGCATAACATTGAACATTTAGATCCACGTTTTCTATAACGTATTTATAACGATACACACCGATATTCGGTATTTTGATAATTCTAGTCACATTTACCCACGAAATTGTTTAAAATTTGGTATTTAAGAAGATTTGGTAGATGACAGCCTAGAAGTACATATAGAATTTTCTACAGAGGTTCCCGTTTTGGTATGGCGCTCATATCATCCACTTCATGGTTTTTTTTTTAATTTAACAGCATTATCCAAACGGTCTTACTGGTATTTGTAGTTTAAAAGAGGGTCAGAGATGAAAATTTGCTGGTAATGTTAAGGAAAAGAAATCAAACAATGCATGTTGAGCCTACAAGTTGATCCATACCTTCCAGTATTCCCGGCTGCTTTTAACATTACATTCAATAGTTCATTTTTTATTTAGCGTAGCTCATGTAGTTGCTATATATTATTCTAATTTTCCATTTTTTGAATTTTATCCAATTTCTGCCTAGAAATATAACTTCAGCAACGGCCTTTTTTCATTGATTGTACAACATGTCGCATAAACAAACATCAAATGCTCCTATGTTATATTTTCGTAGCAAATCTCTGCCTTTTTAGTACCAAAATACACAACCCTGTAAATAAACTGTCAAAAATAAATAACAAATGTTTCTATTCTCTTGACTCTCTTCTCCCACAAAACAGTATTTGTCAGGCAAATACAATACGGCTCTCAGTTCATCATGCCGTATGTGTTTTTGTTATTGTCGTTGCTCTTGCTCTCGCACTACCCCACAACACAGTAATGCCATTCTCTCCCTGGCACACTAATCTCTGCAAAATAAACGCAAATCAAATAAATAATTAACAGTTTGAATATAGGCAAAAGCCAAAAAACAAGCAATCAAATTGTGCTAAAACGCTCGTTTAAATAAAATCTACTCTAGCTAGCCGCCGTCCCGTACAACAATCAATCAATTGTCGAAGTGGTTTTAACTAAATAGAAAAGCACGCAAAAAAAAAAAACAACAATACAAAAGTGGAAAAAAAATGAAGCCATTGCGCCCAGATTTGGCAACCATTTAGTGTGAATTATGAAATTTCGGGACAAATAAAACAACAATTAACACAACACAAAGGCATTGTAAATCATCGCTTTTGTTGTTAACATTACTGGCATCCTTTCATTAAAAGCTAACTTCAAAAAATCGATTTTATTGAGGTTACTTCCTTCCATCTACTGCCCTTATTACTGCAAACTCTTCGCATTGTAGTTTTGGGGTAAATGGGGATTGCCGGACGCCGTTGGCAGAAGCAGCCGCAGCTGAAGTGTTTTGTTTGACCCCCACCCCAGAGCCGACAGCAGTAGCAGCAGCCACTACAACAACAGCAGCAAACACAGAGACAACGACGATTTAAATGCAAAAAGAAAAAAATTGGCTGTTATTGCTACTGGCTGGCTAATGCGAGGAGATGAGTGTAGTATTCGGTCGATAATGTTACTTTAATACGGTTCACGTTCAGAGGGCAGGGCAAAAGTACAAAGAAAATCATTTGGTGCTATGTACAACAACAACTAAAAAATAGCAGCAAATTAATATAACAAACAAAATTGGCATTGAAAACGGCAGTTTTTTCTGTATTTTTTTTTTAAATTGTAAAGCAACTTAAGGGGTGATATCATGCCTAGCTCTGCCTTATACCGTCCACTTGAATCCGGCAATGGCACAAGGTCGAACCAGACCTCAACCGGCGTAAGACCATCCTTCTCGGGTGGTAATAAAGTGCGTTCCTTGTGGCCCAAAACAGCCAATAGTCGTCGCTTGTTTGTGGTTGTTTTGATACTAATGACCCTATTGATTTATGTTGTTTGGAGTGCAGTTCTCAACGATGCGGAGGATAGTCGCGGATCCTATGGATCGACCACAGGTAAATCTCAACCAAATTTAAGCTTTCATAGCACACTACTAGTAGGCACCGCCACCACGAAAGTGAGCCCAATTGTGGAAAATATAAAACAACAACACCAAACATCAGCACCACCACCACCAATCGCACCACAGCCCCCTGAACATGGCTTTTTAGTGCCAGCCAGGGTGGCGCCGCTTATGCTGGAAAAGCTGTTACAAAGGGCAAAGGATAATCCTTCCCTCCTTTCGTCCCCATTAACAACGATAGCAACATACCCAACAAATGGCAGCAGCAGTGTCAGTGCACGTGATATGCAAAACTCGTCAAGTGAGTAGCCAAGCCATGCAGCAGCAACCCAGAATCAAAATTTACCATTAGACGGAGGAAAAGGAGGTGGTATGTGGGCGCATTGCATACACATGCGCTGGCTCTTTAATCCTCCATAAGAGTGTATGTTGTTTCACCTCCCCAGTCCCATCCTCTTGCCACCCACACCCTCCTAGTCATAATCATTACACTAAATGTTTGAAAGTTACCTATATATAAATTCCACCATTCACCTCCAACACCCCCTCCTTTCCTTTTTCACAATGAAAAGCATGCCCACAAACAAAGCACACAGAACAAAAACAACAGCAGCAAAAACAATCCGCACTTTATGTGGTGTAAACTTGGTGATGGAGCTGTGCTAACCCGAACCCAAAAACAAACAACCAGCAATAAAAAAGGAAATAGCTCAAGACATGAACACTATTTTCCTTGCCTTAATTATTTGTTGTCCATTAAAGAGCAAACACCGAAATGGTTGTACTTCTTCTTTGGACATGAAAATGCTGGAACAATGCATTATTTATTTATGAATTTATTTTTTTTTGGTTACTGCTGTTCTTTATTAACAATTAACCAACATTCCCAATCACCACCACCTACGCGCTCCTATGTACATATTTGAAATTAAGTTTACAATGGAAATGTCTGCTTGCCTGCCTTTATGAATATTTAATGTAAATTTTTATTAAGTGGTCATGCGGAGGAATTGCCGAAAGCACTTTGTGGAGTATTATACACCTATGTGGAATAGAGTAAAAAGAGCAATAATGGGACGATTGTCGAAATCTATAGTTGAAATCTGATAACAAAATGGGCCTTTTAAATGACTTACATCGATTTCAAGCAATTGGAGTTGGAGGGCGAAAAATACCCCAAAGTACTAACTTGTCAAATTTCTATACGTCATCACATAAGTCAATAAAACTAATAATATTTATTTCATTTATTATTCACATTGGTTGGAATCCATGATATCCATGTTTAATCCATGATATCTTCCAAATCAAAATATAACGAACACGATTTTCGAATACTAAAGTATGAAGTATAGTCGAAGGAATTGGAAACGCGAATAATGCGTTTCAATGAAAACGTGTTCGTTGGAAATAAGTCTCTACTTTTACTTAGTGAAAAAGTAAATATTGTGTGAGCCAATGCCAAATATTTGACATCGGGTCTTCTGATAAGTTATAGATAAGTAGATCTTAAAAAATTCTCTTTATAGTCAGTTTTAAATCAAATAATTGCATTGATTGATACCATAAGTGAAAAGCATGCGTAAAAAATTACATAAATCAATTATCAACTGAGTAGCCGTTAAGTACAGACACTTAAAACAATTTGTTCTACTTCAGTAAGGCTAGTAATTACTTTAATTGATATCTTTAATAACATTGATATGAAGTTGAATCGGTAGGAGGTTGCTACACAATTGAAAAGAAAGTCAGGAGTTTGGTACAAAATATTCTGGAAGGGGAGCTTGTTTCTGTATAAATTTTGTGCCGTTCCATTGTATCATGTCGACTTATTCGTCTGAAATGTAATTATTTTATTTAAAATTAGTAAGAACGAGATTCTTTTTACCCTGCGCCATGTGTAAATTTGATTTATGGCAAAATCGGCTGTCCTTAAAGTCCCTAAAATTTGCAAGGTTATTATTTTAAGAAGTTGAACTACTCACCCAGGGCACGCAATATAAAGCAGGTGAAGTGATTGATACTGGGCCCAAGCCTTCAAACTATGGAAAATATTTTAAGAAGTTGAACTACTCACCCAGGGCACGCAATATAAAGCAGGTGAAGTGATTGATACTGGGCCCAAGCCTTCAAACTATGGAAAATTAACAGACACATTTATATTAGGATCATCTAAAAAGTTAGAACAGGAGTTGCAATACTGAGAAACCGAATTATATAGGAGTTAATCTACCCTCAAAGAACCCGTATTATCAAATCACAGCTAATTTGGTTTGAAATTGGGACAAATCCCATGCATCGAAATCAGGAGCTAACGTTGGGGGCTGCACTATTATTAAATTACCCACACTAAGAACAGGAAATGTTAGGTTACAGCTAATTTTCTGAACTTGAACCTGGAAATTTAAAAATACCGAAAATTATGAATTGCGTTATATGGGTGCTATACTAAAAAACAGACCTTCGTAACGTATTTTTGAGGGGAGTTAATCTAATCACAAATAATAGGAAATATAAATTAACGGCTAATTTGGTTTGAAGTCTAGACCAGGGCCTATGAAATACCAAAAATGGAGAGATATTTTTATATGAAGGGCCAATATCAATATAAGGGACCCGCAAATTATTTGGGATTTTTATGGTTCTGCCACGGAATCGGTTGTTATTTTTAGTTCTTAATATGTGCCTAAACATCTGGAACTAAATGATCCATAATTAACAGAAGATCAGGTGTCAAGATGGGATATATCGGGCACCTCCTTCTGGTACTTTCCCCACAAAGTGGTTAAAATTTTCAATAATCAAAACGCTTATAAAATATGAAATAATTATTTGATTCGTTCTAAACTTCACGCTTTCTAATATTTCTAATAACACAAAATCAGGCGTGCAGATGGCATATACCGGCCCAGTCCTTCCGGTACCTCCCCCACACAAAGTGATCAAAACTTTGAATAGCAAAACACTCATAAAATGGGAAATCGAAACCTTCTACATAAAAACCTATAATCATAACGCAAGCCAAAATATATGTAAATGAGCACACATTCGCAGAGGAAAAACCGACTGATTTACTTTTTCAACTTGTTTTAATCAGGCCAAATATAGAATTTATGACACATTTATTTTATCGTTATATAACATGCCATTTTTAACTTAATTCCGGTTTTTGTTTGCTAACCGCACTGCTAAGTGAAATATTCGACTCGGGTTTGTAATGCTTAAGAACGTCTTTTTTCACTTTAAAAAGAAAGTAAAAATACTCTCCATATACATGGTGATCAAACTGTGTATATACTTTTGATTATACCCTACACCACACTCGGGTCAGGGTATTAGGTCTTTTTATACCCTCAGCCATATGGCTACAGAGGGTATATATCATTTGATACGGTCAAAACGTGCCTAGTCGAAATAACGGTTTTAGACCCTAGGTCTCTTTGGACCAAATCCTTTTCAGGTGCGCACTATAACTCTGGAAGGGAGTATCCGATTTGGTCCAAACTTGGTACATCGTAATATTTTTATCAAACTTAGATCGAGTTCGGAGATAGGCAATATCGGTCCACTCCTTCTGGTACCTCCCCCACAAAATGTCGAAATTTTCAAAAAATTAATTTTTTGCCCAGAAAGTGAAAGGATAATCCGATTTTGCTCCAACTTTGCAAATCTTAATATTTGCGTCAGTGCTAGGCCTGGTATGAAAATGGGCAATATCAGTCCACTCCATCAGGTACCTCCCCCACAAATTGTCGAAATTTTCAACAAAATACATATTTTTTGCACAGAAAGAGAAACGATCTGATTTTGCTCCAACTTTGCAAATCTTAATATTTGCGTCAGTGCTAGGCCTGGTGCGAGAATGGACAATATCGCCCCATTCCTTCAGGTACCTCCCCCACAAATGGTCGAAATTTTCAAAAAATACATATTTTTTGCACAGAAAGAGAAACGATAATCTGATTTTGCTCCAACTTTGCAAATCTTAAGATTTGCGTCAGTGCTAGGTCTGGTACGAGAATGGACAATATCGGTCCTTACCTTCTGGCACCTCCCCCACAAATGGTCAAAATTTTGAATAATTACAACTTTCATAAAATGTGATGTAATATTCCGATTGTCTTCAAATTTCACACATCCAAATATTTATATTAACCCAAGGTCTGGTTAATATAAACCCTTCTGGTACCTCACCCACAAAGAGATACAATTTTCAATACTTTTATCTGTCACAAACTGCAAAACAACTCAGCGATTCTTTACAACTTGTTATATCTAAATATATGTCTCTCTGAAATTAAGATTTCCCATAAATTGGATATAAGTGTTTGATTTTCTTATATATTCATAATACTACGTATATCATATTTATTAAGATTCGATACGAAATAGACAATATTGCCCCATTCTTTCAAAAACCACTCCATAGAGGGTCAAGAGTTTGAAAATTCATAACAGAAGTCAAAATATGTTTAAATAATCGAACATTGGCTGAGGGTATACATCTGTCGGAAAAACCGACCGATACTTTTTTACTTGTTGAATTTGTTTTTAACTTGAAAGATAGACCCATAGTTACTTATGAGGATCTTCATAGAATCACTTTCTGAGTCGATTTATGCATGTCAGTCAGTCTGTCCGTCTGGCTGTTAGATGCGTAATATGCACCCCACAACAATGATCAGACATTAGATACAGCTCAGTAATAAGTGATAATAATTTTGTCAAGCTCGGTTCAGATTTGTATATAGCTCCCATATATATCTTTATCCGATTTCAGATTTTTTGTGCACTACATAACTAATATCTGCCGAAATGGACTAAATTTTGACACATCCGACCGAATTCGATCTAAAAGCAAGTACTTCAAATTAAGTGAAAATCTGTTCAGATATAGCTATATCTCCCATATACTGGGTGAGATGAAAAATCTGAAACCAACTTAAGCCACTCGTCTGACAGATGTTACAATTATTCCAGTGACAGCTCATTATATTGTTTGCAAGCGTACAAAAGTATTCTGTAGAGAATTTTCCAGAAAAATAGTTATTCGTGATGGAATTCAAGCGTGATTGTGCGATTTCTTTATATTTGGCTGGAAAACCACAAGTGGCTATCGTTAGAGCATTCCAGCATTTAAATGTGAATAAATCGTTTGTGTCTCGTACCATCGCTCGTTACCGTGATACTGGTAGCGTAGCCCGACTTCAAGGAAGTGGACGGAAGAAAACAGCAACATTAGCTGAAATGGTGCGAAAGTAAAGACGCGTCTTGATGGAAACCCGCGTCGCAGTGGTCGAAAAATGGCTCGTGAGCTTAACATATCGCAATATTCCATTCGGTAAATATTGAAAAATTAGCTCGGGGTAAAGCCATTGAAATACCAAAAAGTGCAAGAACTTACACCTCAACAGAAAGAAAATAGACTCAAAAAAGGTAGAGTTTCGCATACGAAATATGCAAATCGTACGTCAAATTACTTGAAAATCGATTCGGAGTTGGATATAGTTCCCAAATTGTGGCTACTCTATAGCCATGATAGGTTCATAGTTGGTATGACCCTTTTCACATAAATTCCTAATATAAACTCTTTTGTTATGGGAGCTCTACTACATACGTATAGTGGCGTAGGGTATAATATAGTCGGCCCCGCTAGACTTTTGACCTTTCCATACTAGTTTTTTACTTGGAACTGAAACAGGTTAGATCATATTTATGAACGAAAATCCTATTAAAAAGAAATTCTTAATTCATTTTAGAAATGAGGCAAACTATCAATAAGTAGGACAAACTTGTTGTAAATAATGTTAAATTAATCTGGTAGGAATCGGAGCTAGCCTCAGAGCTGTATATTTGTAGCTTTACGAACCTGCTTGCCTCATTATTGTATGCATATAAAAAACTGAGGATTTTCCCTTTGTTTTTTAAAAAACTTAGTAATTTCAGTTAAATATTTCTCCTAAAGGAAAAAATGAGCGAATTCTGGTTCTCAGACTTCAGATATACTTTTTATCTGATCATTATTTAATAATGCATATATTATAATATAATAACGAATTTCTGAAGTAATTACCGAATAAAACCACAAAAAGCCATTATTTGCAATATTCCTCTTGTTCATTGTTAAAACCTATCAATGATTATCGAAATCATTCTTTAAAATGCCTTATCAAATACAGTTTTTTTTTTTTTTTTTTTTTTGAAAAATGTGAGTAGCCTTTTGGCATTAACTCTGACGTAGCATAGCATGTGCTATATACATGTTGGCCATAATTTTATATGTATGTACTGATGTTTGTTGATAATTTACCTCACCTTTGGTATGTTGTGTTATTTTTTTTTTCCTAAACATACCGAATGTATCAAGTGCAAACACACATATTATCTGTCAAAAAAGAAAAAAAAACCCTGTGAACATTCACACAGCATATTGAGAATTAGAATTAGAAATCCATTGTACTTTTTTTACCAACGTGGGGAAAAATCAAATCAAATACAAACAATAATGGTATTTGTATATTTAAGGTGATTTGCAATAATCTTTATCGCAGCGATAAGATAACTCACCGGAAAATATTTGAACATGTCGTCGTCCCTAGCTTTGTATTGTTCTTATCCAAATCGATGTTAGCTTTATACACCAAAGAATATTTGAAATGTTTGTACAAGGTGTTATATTTGTTTTTGTTTTTCTGTTCTCAGATAAGATGTGGTGGCATTCATGATTCATAGTTGCCACTAAAAAAAATATATGGTGGTGTCTAGTTCTTAATTAATACACAATTTCATTTTTTTTTATTGCCATCCCACATTAAGTTCTAAAGCCATAAAATGCATTGCTTTGAAATATGAAACTTAATTCTTAATTTTAACAAAAGCCACAACCTTTTTAAGTAATCTTTTGTGAGCTATGCTCAAAATGAGATCAGCTAGGAGGAATTTCTTTAAATTTGTTGATAACATTGATAGTTGCAATCTTCATTTCCAGTTTCATAAATTAGTAGCAATCTATGCCAAGCAGTCCAAAATAAAAATCTAATGCGAGATGTGTGCTGGGTCAAAAATACAATGGGAGTCTAAATGACTACGGGAATGCGAGTGAGACGGCCTCTGGATATAATTGCTCTGTTCTAGAACCTGCATGTATCTACTTTTTTGCGGTATAGGGTATTACCACATAGTGGTAAGGGTATTATGTATTTGTGCATTTGTTTGTAACATGGAGAAGGAGGCGAGAAAGACCCATAGATCCTTTTGATGATCTGCATAGAATCACATTTTGAGTCGATTTATGCATTTCCGTCTGTCCATGTATTTTTGTAAACAAACTACAGGTCGCATTTATTGCCTGGCCGAGGTGATTTGACCCAAGAACAAACCATATTGAAATCGGTCAAAATATAGATATGGCTCCCATATATATCTTCTACCAATTTCGGGTCAATTGTGCACTAAATGACCAATATCAGCCCAAATGACCTGAATTTTGGCACATCCGACCTAATTCAGTCTAGGAGCAAGTACATCAAATTTGGTGAAAATCGGTTCTGATATAGCTATAGCTCCCTTATATATGTTTCCGCCGAATCTGTGTTTAAGTCCCTCACATGCGTAATATGCACTTCAGAAGAATAATATTTGGTACCAGATACATCACAGAAATACCTCTGTCAAATTTTATCAAGATCGGATTAGATTTGGTTATATCTGCCATATATATCTTTATTCGATATCACTTTTATTGTGCACCATTTGACTAATATCAGCCTAACGGAAATTTTGGCAATCCCGACTAAATTCGTCCTAGAAACAAGTACTTCAAATTGGGAAAGTGATGACCACACTACCTTTAGGATCCCTGATTGAAACCTTTTTTGTCGGATCGTGCTGGGATGGTGACATAAATTATCACCTTGAAGAGTTGTACTGGAATTTAAGTTTTTTTTTTTTTTTAATGTAAGAATGTTTGCTTTTCAAAATGAAAGGCATCGGACCACGTTAAGGTATAGCCCCCATATAACAGCTTCTCCTGATTTTCCGCATTTGAAAAGTTTTGGCCTCGATTTCCAAACAAATCAGGTGTAATCTGATGTTATGGGTTCTTAGTGGTTGAGACATTAAACTCTACTCAAAAAAATTAAATGTAGGTCAACTTTTTGAAATAGACCCTGATTTTGAGCATTGTGGGGGTATCGGCCTCAGTTTCGAACCAAATCAATGGTAATGTGATATATCAGGTTATTTGTGGATAGATTAACTCCTCTCAAAAAATATTCCAAATACGTTCAGATTTTGGTATGGTCCCCATAGGACGGGGGAATTCCAGGTCCATTGAGGTCCATTTTTGGGATAGCCCAGCCCCCATGTTAGATTACCTCCTGAAAGTTTTGGATTAATTTTCTACTAAATCACAAAATATAAAATTTGGGCTTCATTGACTGAATGCAAAAATATTCCATGTATGTCCACTTTTTGGTATAGTTCCCTCATAACAGTAACTCCCGGTTTTCTGTATTAGAAGGGATTGATTCCAAATAACTACCGAATCAGCTGTAATTTCATATTTCATCTTCTAAGTGTATTCAATGTCAGTACATCTTTTGTTACAGCTCCCATATAAAGACAAAATCTGATTTCCATTATTTTGAAGGGTTCGTGTGAAATTTTCAAAAAAAAAAAAAATAGGATGTTATTGGACATTACGAGCTCTAAGTGGGTAGGATAACTCCTCGCAAAAAATATTCATTGATTAATGAGTACTTTGGTATAGCCTCCAAATAGCAATATCTCCTGATTTTCTGTATTTCAAAGGTATTGATCGCAGTTTTCTACCTCATCATCTGTAATTCCACATTTCGTCTTCTCCGCGCAGAATGTATTAAATGTCACTCCATCTTTTGTTATAGCTCCCATATGAAGACAAAACCTGATTTCTATTATTTTGAAGGGTTCGGGCGAAATTTCCAAAACAAAACTTTTGTCATTGGACATTACGAACTCCCAGTGATCAGGTTAGCTCCTCGCAAAAAATATTCATTGATTAATGTCCACTTTTTGGTATAGCTCCCAAATTACAATATCTCCTGATGTTCTGCATTTGAAATGAGAAATCTCAGCTGTATTTCCACATTTCGTCTTCTTTAGGCTGACTCCTCGCTAAAAATATTCAATGATTTCCTGATTTTCTGCATTTGTCCCAATTTCTAAGAAAATCACTTGTGATTGATATTTGATATGGATCAAGTTCATGCTGGGTGATATGTAGTTTCGGTTTTTATTCTTTCACCCTACAACACATTCTCATTTGTAGTTATCTCAACATGTACATATGTCGAGCTGCTATACAGCTTTAGCCTTCGGTTTTGCTCTGTGGACGGCCCCCTTAAAATACATAGTGTTTAGGGAAGTTTGGGGAATACTGTTATCCAAATTTTTACTGCTGCTTCAACTCTGCCCAAATAGTGCCTGGAGGTCAGTTAAATATTGAAAGATTTATTTATTTGCGAATAAGTCTAGAAATCCGACCCAAAAATGTATTTTCGAATATCAATTTTCCTCAATATGTATTATGAAAGCATTATGGATGTCTTTTTATTTTATTATCGCTGTAGTCTTTCTAATCTTTAAATAGATTTCAGCCAATTTAAATGTTCAAAATGACAACGGCAAAGACCAACATACAGAAAGACAGACAGGCAGACCAAAAGTCAAACATTCAAAGAAATCTGCCAAAACATAAATACTATAAAGATGAATGAGACACAATGCTAGTCCGCCGCAAACCAGGCAATCACAATGCTTAGACAACCAAACCAAAAAATGTATTTTTAGGTTTGCTGCCTGATTTCTTCTACACCCGATACCCTTTTCTAGACCTTAAATTAAATATGAAACCAAAAACATTAATTTCTCTCTTCCATTTCCATTGCAGATGTACTCGACAACAAATTGGCCAATGAATCTCCGACAACGTTGTGCGGTGAGTCATTTAATGACACACGCCTTTACATACAGGATCGCCCACGACAGGAATGGGCAAATTTAAGTACAATTTACTTTGTCACCCCCACATATCCGAGGCGAGAACAAGTGCCGGAATTAACGAGGCTGGCCTATACGCTGCTGCATGTGCCGCGCCTGCATTGGATAGTGGCCAATGATCACAATGCCTGCAATCCTTATTTGGATACTTTACTTAATCGATTTGGTGAGTATGCGAAACAGCGTACATGACGTATTATGTGTGTGCGTGTGTGTGTGTTTGTGACCGATATACAAACATTGCCAAGAGCCAAGTAAATAAGGTTAAATCCTAGTTGATGATAATGATGATGAAGATGGCCATGCACCGATGGCGTCACATAGCACGGCCAACTTTGTTTTGTTTGTTTGTGTTGTGGTCACTTGCATTGTTTTGTAATATCCTCTTTCATTTTAGGTATTCCCTATACCCATTTGGCAAGTCCCATGCCTCAACGTTTCCACAAAGCCGAATCCAAGCCAAGAGGGGTGGCGAATCGACGTGCCGCCATGCAATGGTTGCGCCAGCATAACATAACAACCGGTGTGCTGTATTTCGGCGATGACGACAATACATATGATCTCAAGTTATTTAGCGAAATACGTGACACCAAACATGTATCCATGTTTCCTGTGGGCCTAATTGCCAATTATGGCATTAGTGGGCCAGTGGTGTGTAAGGTTTGTATATACCACCGCGCCGAATATTAGGCAAATGTGTTACTAAGCAAATGCGTCTCTCATATTTCACAAATACAGGGCAAGGTAATTGGTTTCCTCGATTCCTGGGTGGCTGGCAGACGTTGGCCTGTCGATATGGCTGGTTTTGCTGTTAGTCTCTCGTATATGGCCGAACATCCCAATGCATCGATGCCCTATAAACCGGGCTATGAAGAGGATTATTTTCTGCGCAGCATTGGTTTAACACTGGACATGATTGAACCGAAGGGTAGCAATTGCACAGAGATTCTGGTGTGGCATACACAGACGAAAAATCATGAACGCACAATGGTCAAACTGAATCATGAGTATTTGGATGATCGTTCGAATTTAGGTGCTCTCTTTAAGGCTTTATCGGATATGGGTGTGTCGGGTGCTTCCGATAGTGAGGGTAAGTGAAATGGGTGGGAATGGAAATATGAATGAAAACAAGTAAAAAAAGAAGTAAATTCGGCCGGGCCGAACTTTGAATACCCTCCACCATTTGGAACAAATTAGGAAAAATCCGTTAAATACAGAATATAGGCAGTTACCGTTAAGTTGGGTCTATTGACAGACATGGACCTGCATGAGCTTTTTTAGTCATAGGCCATTACAATATACAAATACGAAAAATGAAAATACTCCGGTGAATAATGTCGCAAAAACGTCAAAATACCGAATATAGAAAGAAAGAAGAAAATCACCAAAATACCGAACATGGGGCGGTAACCATATATGGGGGCTATTTGGAGACTTGGACCTGTATAGACAATTTTCTGTCAGAGGCTGTAGTATCCATTACGTACTTCAAATACCAAATTTGAAACAATTTCGGTGAATAATGTCGGTAAAATCATCAAAATAAAGAATATCGGGAGGTACCGTTTAATGGGGGCTGTACGAAGACATGGACTTGCATAGACAATTTTCTGTCACAGACTGTAGTACCCATTTCTAACTATAATTACGAAATTTGAAACGATTCTGGTAAACAATATCGCTAAAATCACCGAAATACCGAATATAGGGAGGTACAGTTATATGGGGACGGGACTATAATTAAGCGTGGACCTATATGGCCCATTTACAATACCGAAAGTCTTGCAAATGAAAAACACATTTGAGTAAAATTGTATCAACCTACTTAAATTCGTTCGGAAGCTAGAGTGATTTCCACAGACGGACAGATAGACAAACGGACGTTCTTCGTTAAATCGAATTTTATGCTGATCCAGAATATATATACCTTGGGGGGTCTAAAATTTATATTTCGAGGTGGTACAAATGGTCAGGAACCTCTGGACGGATTTCGAGTATTTTCATAAATTTTCAATGGCCTCTTGCAAGAAAAGGATAAAATCGAAGAAAATCGCGCGAAAATATGCCATTAAAAGAATGAATATTTTTTGTCAAATTTTTTATCGCATACGATTTTTTCGTATCTGACTTACAATAGTTGTGTTCCAGAACCTGCAAATTAGTACTAATTAGCACTAATTCTGCTACAACGCGTTCCCGTACTCCAAAAATTAGCAAAACTTGCAGCTCTCTCGAGAAAAAAATGGCGCTGAGTGGTGCACATTTCTGCTTGTTTTAGCTACATGAATTTGGCCGAGCAGAAATGTGCATATTGTAAATTTGACATTTAATTGGCAGGGCTAACAAGGTTGAAAAATGTATTGATACATTTCAATAAAGAAAATGATCAACTTGAAAACTAAAGGAAAAACTAATATTTGTCGTGCAAAAAACAAAAAGAGAAAATATGGAGCAACTGATGTATTCACTTTTGGATGATTCCAGCAGTGAAGAGGACTGGCTGAATGAGGAATCAGATTATTAATTATTATTATAAATTATTAATTTTAACTTATCGTCTTCAATACTCATTTTTTAAATGTTGGCGCTCTTTTCAGTAAGGTTTCACCAGTCCGATTTAGGCTGTTTACTTTTGGAATTTTGAATTTTGACATTTTATCGCATTTCTGCTAATTTTCCGTTCCCTTATTTTTTGAGCAAACCTAAATGAGAATGACATTTCGAACTGTTTTCTCTTCTGCTAGTTTTACTACTAAAAAAGTACTGGAACACAACTAATATTAGTTTGTACAAATATTTTTACACCAAGCAACACTGTGAGGGTTGAGGGTATTATCTTCAGGTCGCAATTATCGTCCGATTTTCACAAAATTTTGCATGGAGGTAGGGTTATGGTCAGAATAGAAGTCTAGTTTTTAGAAGATGTAAATTTAGGGTTTCAAATGGACCAAAAATTATTTTTTCTCTGGTTTTGCAGTCACTCTACAGGGCACAATTAAAAACTAAACGACAGGGAAATTCTCATGAGGAAATAGTTAAGGACAGGGCAGAAGTCTAGCATTTAAGATGACCACTGGGTAATATTTGGCGGGTAAAATTGACCATAGCTTTTATGTGACATTGTTTTGAATACCAATCAGTAGGACAGAAAGGGCGAATATAGGGCGAATGTCCGGTCAAAAACCAATTATTTAAAAAATGAACAAAAATGGATTTGAACCTAAGGGGCTGCCAAAATATTATAGTGTTGTAGGGTATCACATAGTCGGCCCGCACGACTATAGCCTTTGCTTACTTGTTTAATTAATATTTTTATTATTTTAAATTAACATTTTGTGTCTTTCTTTTTTTAGGTCAAAAAGCCATCATTAGCAAAAATGGAAAATCGAAACCCCTGGGCTATTTCCTTAGCTGAGATACAATGCAATTTGAACAGTTTATACGCAATTTATTTTCCGTCTAAAACTGTTTTGTGGTCGATCAACTACTACTGAGCTGCTTTCTACCCTCTCCCCCATCCTTCAATGAGGAATTTATTTAAACATTTTTTTGTTTAGCCTATTTTATTATCATGCAGTAAACCCACCCCCTCCCTGTTAATACTCTCTAAATTTATAATTTCGAAAATGCAAAATTATGTATAGATTTATAAGTTAGTTACAAATTTTATGATTTTTAAGAACTTGTTTGTAAATTTGATAGAAGTTTTTTTTTAAGAAAGTCTGTTTTCATAGCATAATGTTTAGATTATAAATTTTGTAAATGGTTTTTCATCATTATTATTTTGTTAAATACTTTTTGTAGTATTTATTTAATTCTTTGCTAAGTTTTCTTTGTGAAGCTTGTGATAATATTTAGGGTATATATTGTAGAATGTTAGAGGAAAATGTAAGCATTAATTTTTTGTGGTTTGAGACCCAATTTCAACATGACTGGGTTCCCTTTTAGGGTCTCCGAAAATCATGGTTTTCACAATCATAAAAGTTGTGATCTACCTTTCCCCATTTTAATAATTGAAAATAATGTTTAACAAATTAAACACCAAGTATCCCGAAATGCTAAAGATCAATCAACAATGTTGTTTACGGTTTTGCAACAAAAAGACAATTTTTCAATACTAGGCCATAAGTATAGCTTTAAATATCGCCGCATGTTGTTTAAGAAATTTTTGCCATCACATAAAGAAAACGAACAAAAAGAAATAAAGAATTTTAGGTTGTGTTGCCAACATATTATCACTGACAGTTTGTGTATTTATCTCCTTGGATAAGTTGCTATGCAATTTTCACATGACTACAATTGTTATATTACTACACAAATTATATTTATATTGTAACAAAATATTCTCCTAGTTATGGCTTCATATCATTTCAAATCTTTTCTTCTACAAATATCATTACGAAAAGCAAAGCAATCAAACGGAAACGAACTAAACATAAAACGGTGTATTTGTTTAGAACAAATATTAAAAAAAAACTTATATTATGATATGGTAGTCCTATGGACTAATCCTGCACTTTACATAAAACATATAATGCAATTAAAAACTAAAAACAAAAAAGTAGAAGGGAAATGAAGTGTAAAAAACTTACCCTGGATGCCATTGCTTTTGGTCTAGTTTCTGCAAGGAAAGAAAGGAAGACGATTAAGAAAATTGTTTTATTCGAATCTAATCTATATTTATAAAACAGAAGAAAATGTAAATAAACAATTAAATTTATTTAAGCTAAAAGTCATTGTTTAATTATAAAAAAAAAAACTAAAAATTGTGCATTTAGATTGATGTGGAGGAGCAATTTAAAATTTTTCAAACAAACTCCATCTATTAACAATTTATTTTCTATCGTTCCACAAATAGCTTTCCAAAGCTTCTCAATGCGAAAATTTAAAGTCATCCATTCCAGTAGTCCTTTCCCTTCAGCCCATTAAATATTCCGTTTTTACAGCTACAGCCTAAATGAATGTAAATAAACACGATTCCCCATCTGCAGAAAATAATTCGGGAGAAAAGTCAAAATGCCACAATTTTTACATTTTTTTTTTTAATTTTATCGAATGAAAGCAAAAAATGTCGGAAATAGCATCAAATTTTAGAATAAGTTTAGATTTGTTCGAATTGACCACCTTTGGCACGAATTATGGCCTTCAAACGGCCAATGAAACAGTCACACGCAGCCCGAATGTTGCTCTGCGGTATTTTGGCCCATTCCCGGCGAAGCACTTGCTAGAGGTATTTTTTAGTGCCAACCTTGCTTTCCGAAATACTCCAGACACAATAGTCCAATGGATTGGTGGCCATTGTGCACTGGAAATGAAGCGAGGAACCTCATTTTGTAACCATTCTTGGGTGGAGCGTACTGAGAGTGATGGTGTCAAATTCTGTTGGAATGTCCAAGTTCTGCGGCCAAAATGTTTGCGTGTCCAAGGCTTTAATACACCTTTCAGAATATTTTCGCGGTCATATTCGGCATTTATTCTGATGCCAAGGTCGATTAATACGAGCAGAGAGCGACCATCGGCTGTTATGGCGGCCCACACCATCACCATGGTGACCAACCAAATGTGCACATTTTCAGCTGACCACTTTGACAAGTAAATACGATCATTGTGTTGGTTTAAAAACTGCCGGACAAGGAATGTTTTCTCATCGGAGAAAACCAAATTCGGCAGTTCACGACTTTCAGCCAAGCGAAGCAACTCTTTAGCTCTTTTGAGTCTATTTTCTTTCCATTGCGGTGTATGTTCTTGCACTTTTTGGAATTTCAATGGCTTTACCTCGAGCTCATTTTCCAATATTTGCCGAATGGAATATTGCGATATGTTCAGCTTACGAGCCATTTTTCGGCCACTGCGTCGCGGGTTTCGATCAAGTCGCATCTTTACTTTTTAAACCATTTCTGCTGATGTTGCTGTTTTCTTCCGTCCACTTCCTTGACGTCGGCCTACGTTACCAGTATCATGGCAACGAGCGATGGTGCGAGACACAAAAGATTTTTTCACATTTAAATGCTGGAGTGCTCTAACGATAGCCACTTGTGGTTTTCCAGCCAAATATAAAGAAATCACACTATCACGCTTGAATCCATTACGAATAACTTTTTTTCTGGAAAATTCTCACAAAATGCTTTTGTACGCTTGTAAAGAATATAATGAGCTGTCACTGGAATAATTTTAACAGCTGTCGGACGAGTGGTTTGGAAATGACAGCATTTTGAAGTTGGTTGTAGTTTTTTTCATCTCACCCTGTATTAACAACTTTTTTCCTAGCGTCCTACAAATGCCTCCCCAAAAACTTCTTTATATGAAAATTTAAGGTCATCCATTCCAATACTCCTTTCCATTTAGCCCCTTAGGTTAGGTTAGGTTAAAGGAAGGACGGAGACCTATTGGTTCATTGTGTTCATCCTAATTTAATAAGATAGGAGAATAGAATAAGGATAAGAAAAGGAAATGAATAACGGAAAGTGAAGAAGCGAGAATCTGAATAAAGATTAGGGAATTTAGTAGGTTTGCATTCACGGTGTATCAGCGTGTCGTCCTTAGCCATTTTAGTCTTCTGGCTAACTGAAGTTTCCTCCTCGTCCTGACAAAGCCTGCAGTATTCAGTGTCGTCACCCTCCATTTGGATATCATGGCCTTTATGTTGCAGTGTCCTGTAATTATGTCCACCACAACTTTGACTGACTTTGATCTCCTTTCGGAGTTCACCGGCCAAATATTTTTGTAGACGTTACATTTCCTTCCAGTTAGCCAGTTCTGATGAAATCTCCCAAGATAATGCTTATGCAGTACTTGGAAGAGGTGATATAAGGGTGGCTTCACTGAGCTCTCAATCTTTAGATCTACTGACTCAGATCCGCCTCTGGCCAATTTATCGGCCGATTCATTGCCAGATATGTTGCAGTGTCCAGAGATCCCACAGAGCTTGACAAACGATTTAATCTTTTCCAGAGCATTCCTGCATTCCAGAACTACAATAGATTTAATTGTAAATGAATTTAGAGTCTTCATGGCCGCTTGACTATCTATATATATAGTCACCGGTCCGTCAAGTTCATTGATTCTATTTGCCAGCAGTTATATGGCCTTCCTGACAGCAAAGATTTCTGCCTGGAAAACGCAACAGTCGTTGTTTAGTTTGAAGGATCGTTGGATACTTAGACTTTCACAGTAGACTCCAGCTCCTGTTCCACTTTCCATCTTTGACCCATCAGTATAGACAGCTATACCGTTAAAAGATGTAGTGTCGCGGGTCTAGATGTCTCTGTTAGATATATTAATATCAAGTAGTTCAAAGCTGTGCCTAGGTGATATATAATCGTAAGCTATAGTCTGATTTCCTATGCTTTCCACATACCTGATAATGACGGAATGTCTAAAGGGCTGACTCCGCCATTGTCCAAATTCATTGAGTCGCAGGGCATATCTAGCAGCTTGTTCCTCTAGAAATAAACCTAACAGCCCCTTAAATATTTCGTTTTTACAGCTACAGCCTTAATGAATGTAAATAAACACGTTTTCCAATCTGCAGAAAAAAATTCAGGAGAATAATAAATATTTTCGGAGAAACGAAACAGAAGAAAATTTATGAAGCGTCAATGTTCAATGCTGGACAAAAATATAAAATAAATATGTACCATAAAAAAGTATTTTCCTTTTTGCAATTTAAGCACTTTTTTATTTTTTGGTTGCCTGGAACGAAAACATTCGATTGGGTCCAATGGCCATCCAATACGACGATGATGATGAGAATAACTATGATGACGACTCACATACTTTATATGCCTCAGCAGGGAACATCATCTGTGCGCTTGTGATCATTCATAATTCATTAAAATTATTACGCCCTTGAGAGATGTATTCAATGTTATTTGTTTTGTTGTTTTCCTTTATGCCGTCGTTGTCCTTTTTATGTTGTGTTTCTTATGTTTCGCTCGATACGTTAAGTACCAGTAAAAGGATACATATGAGTATACGAAAAAAAAGGATTATTTGTATGTGTTGCCTTCTGTTAAGTGGCCATGTTTACTTTATGATACAACACATAAAGAAGAAATTATATATATAAATATAAGGCAACGCAATGGAAGTAATTTGTGAAAGAATATGGCTCGCAAAAACAACAACACTGTTGTTTATCAAAAGGGGAAAAATTGTTGTATAAAAAGGCAATAAGTTTATGGAACTGTTTTTTTTTTGGCAGATATGATGGCACGTTTTTATTTTTATGGTTCTTGGGATACTCTAAAATCTGCAAGGGCTTTAAATAATATCTTATTCAGGAACATACAATTATTCCTGATTTGAGGGTCTGTACGCATCCTTATCTTGGAGATAAAGGCTAGCCGCGACCCCAACTTTTTAGAATATGCCTAATAATGACGATATTTATACCCTCCACCTTGAAAAGGAGGGTATATTAAATTTGTCATTCCGTTTTGCAACCTCCCTGAATATTCGTCGAATAAAATGGGATATATCGGTCCACGTTTTGATATAGCCGCCATATAACGGTACCTCCCGATATTCAGTATTCTGATGATTTTTGCCACATTTTTTCACGGATTTGTCTAAAAATTGGTATTTGTAGTTCGCAATGGGTTCTAGCTCCTGTGGCGGAGCATTGTATGTATAGATCCACGTTTTTGTATAGCCCCCATATAACGGTACCTCGGGATATTCGGTATTGTGACGACTAAGTACCAATCATCATCGTAGGAAAAGGAGCCTCTGGCCTAATAAGGATCACCGATAAGGATTAGTAAAAACTACTATCTTCGATATGGGGGGCAATCAGTGTCATAACTTAAGGTTAATGACCAGTCAGGACTCTAATCTCAATTGGAAGGTCCTGTAAAGACTAGAGACAGGGTCATTATCTCTGAGATAAGGTATTTTAGGATTATGAGTTTTATTAGGGTTTGTCAGTACCTTTATCTGCCCGATAAGAAAGAACCAGACAGATCCATTATTTTTAAGAAAAGACAAACCAGAGTAAGAGCAGTCCGAACATCGGTCTCAAAAATAATTTTTATAAAGGACTACTATTTCAAATATAGGACAATCATGTCAGAGAGATAAGATTTGGATCTTCAAGAGAAGCTTGATGACCCTGACGGCCATTACCTTTTATGTAAAAGTTGGTCAAAGTCGCTATATCTTTGGAATGAACAAGTCTGAACAATTACCGCAGCTATAACATCCAGCCAGGACTATTATCTAAGATTTCACCTCTTTTTTTG